CTATGGGGGTGTTTTTCAGCTGCAGGGACAGGACGACTGGTTGCAATTGAAGAAAAGATGAATGCGGCCAAGTACAGAGATATCCTGGAAGAAAACCTCTTCCAGAGTGCTCTGGACCTCAGACTGGGCCGAAGGTTCACCTTCCAACAAGACAATGACCCTAAGCACACAGCTAAAATAACAAAGGAGTGGCTTCGGAACAACTCTGTGACCATTCTTGACTGGCCCAGCCAGAGCCCTGACCTAAACCCAATTGAGCATCTCTGGAGAGACCTGAAAATGGCTGTCCACCAACGTTCACCATCCAACCTGACGGAACTGGAGAGGATCTGCAAGGAAGAATGGCAGAGGATCCCCAAATCCAGGTGTGAAAAACTTGTTGCATCATTCCCAAGAAGACTCATGGCTGTACTAGCTCAAAAGGGTGCTTCTACTCAATACTGAGCAAAGGGTCTGAATACTTATGACCATGTGATATTTCAGTTTTTCTTTTTTAATAAATTTGCAAAAATTTCTACATTTCTGTTTTTTTCTGTCAAGATGGGGTGCTGAGTGTACATTAATGAGAAATAAAATGAACTTTTTTGATTTTAGCAAATGGCTGCAATGAAACAGAGTGAAAAATTTAAAGGGATCTGAATACTTTCTGTACCCACTGTAGATGTCTGACCCTTTTTAAATGAATGCTACTTTTTAGATTTGTTTCTTCTTCGGTTACAAGCATCCAAGAATTTCTGTGTGCAGTAAAATTGAATATGCAGAAACTTGCCTGAGTTGTTTAACTCCATAGCTGTGTGGTATTTGTTTTGTATAAGTGCAGATTGTTCTGAAAAGTGTGCACTGCATTACCCAAAGACAATACAGCAACTTTGACATAAATTGATGCAGACTTCACAGTGGCAACTTAAGGAAGTATCAAAGTATCAAGTCTGCTTACAGGTTTACATTATGCACGGAAATGAATGGAAATGTCTAAAACACTGCGACACAGTAGGCTGTGATGTAAAGTGTAGCCTACTGTGTTTTGTACTAAGTGGGCTACAACATAAAAAAAAACCTCGGTATAGTTCTTTCAGTCAGCACTTAGATTTTAGAGTCTGATACAGAACAATCAAAAATAATGAAGTCTACTTCTATTTTTTATTTATAAAGTTAAAGATGTGTTGAAAATTAGCAGTTCAAATGACAATGGAGAGAACACAAATACAACATTCCGCTTCATAACATACTATAACATGTATAAAATAAACATATAAAATAAATAGCATCCATAATGAAGTTACTAGTTACTTTGCAAATAACTGAAATCAATAGTTTATTTTGAAACTACCAGTGCAGAAATCTGCATATCAGAGGTCTTGACCAGATAAAAAAAAAAAAGCACCAGTCCTACAGCAGCGTAACTAAATCAACAGTCCTAGTCATTTGATAATATATCAAACGGTAAACAGCACTCAACCGCTTCTGGTATAATGGAAAGCAGCATTGAATAAATAAGGTATCAAAATAGTGGTTTATGATGCCATCATCTGGAAGACTTGAGTATAACAGTAAATGAGAATTTGTTTTTGAGTTTCATCATGAAACATGTGCAAACAGGTAACAGTCAATCTTATGATTACTGATTTCTTGACTCCATGCAAAATGTGCACAGCATATAAAACATACAACACAGTGAGCGTGAAAAGGTAAAAATCTAAAAGGTCAAGCAGCAAGTCAACTGAATTGCAGTGTCCAAAAATTATCCAAATACTTTTTTGATACATCACAGTCTCAAAAAGGTTTAAAGTACACTTTTCATACCTTAAAAAACATTAATTAATATTAGATGTGAAGCAAGTCAATGTTTGCCTTTATATAAAATGATCAGCTGGTTCTAGGTTCAAGTAAATATAATTAAAGTAAATATGTCTTTAATTTCACATTCGTTCCTCTTCAGTGAATAAACTTTATACAGCTGTCAACCCAACCATCAACATACCACTACACTACATGAAGCTCATTACAGACATATAATGTACTGTATATCCACATGGATCCTAACTAATACTGTGCATCAGAACTGTCCACTGAAACACAACACATTACAGTTTCTTTCAGATTCCAGATAGGAAGGATGGTCTCACTGTTTATGGGACGCCTGGTTGACGTGGTGCTTACACTGATGAGGATGTGTTCAGGGAGGCGGCGATGTGGTCGTCAAGGAGCTGCTGGGAAAAGTTCTGGTGCATCTGAGCTGACCCGTGGGTGTCCCACAATCCTTGTTCAGATCTGCTGGTAAAGGATCATTGTGAATACTGATGACAGCTGCAGTTTTATGTTTCACGACCCTGGTTCCTAATGTCAGATCCACCTTTGAGGATGCTAAGACTTATCAGGTTACTAAAGAGTGATTCATTATTTCTTCCATCACTTTGTTGTTTCCCCTAAGCTACGTCAACTTCTAAATCAGTTGTGGCTTCCTTACTCAGTTGTGTATTTGTGTGGGTGACAAGTGGATATCGCCGCCTGCCCAGGACAAAGAAGACGTGACTCAGCAGAACTAGTGAGCAGGCAGTCAATCTGTTAAGATCCTCAGCATTAGACATCTTCGGGGTCTCCCTTAGAAATCTTCTGTTGATGCAAGATTACATTTTAAGTTCTTTTGCTCTAAACATACGGGCAGAACAGGATCCTAGATGTAAAGTTTACAGTGCACGTATTAAAATCATGAGTCAGATGTTCTTACTTGGCCTCGTTGTAACGTCCCTGGAAGAAAGACAGGAGCTCTCTGATGTAAAACGCTGCAGCTTGTAGACAAGTTATATTGTTTTAAAATTCAGCAAAAAGCAAGAAACAAACGCACATGATGTTATCATGCTGTATAGTTTACCTGACAGGAAAGTTGTGATCAGGAGTAATCCTCTATAGAAGGCTGTACAGCTACTGATTCATATATATATACAGTATATAAACTGTTTAAATGCTGGAGGAAGGAGCACTCCCTGACCTCTTGATGTTTGTTGCATTCCCTGATGTTGGCCAGGTTGGTCACAATAAACGTCCAGAGCTCCTGGTGAGTTGTCATCGAACAGAAGAAGAAAAAAAGAGAGCCACTGAGTCATATAAGCATCACATAGTCACACAGACCCCAAGCTATTCTCTTTTGAAGTGTCACAAAATATTGCATTTAGCGTTGTCATGATCACCTTGTGTCTTCAATAATGTCATTATTTTTTCTTATCATAGGCATGCCTGTGTTTCCTTTACCGTAAAGGTGTGTTTTCTTTGTCTGTAGACCTGCCAGTGGTGTATGAAGCTGGGCAGCATGATTTGTAATTTGGTAGATCTGATATAAATCATAAAGGGATTTTCTTGCCATATAATCAGATAGGTTAGTGCCAAGATGAAGCTCTTTATAAAACGTGAATATATATCATTGTGAGGAGATACATTGATGCTGCAACACACATTGTATCAGTTTGTGGGCAATTTCATGATATACACAAAAGGGATACTTGTTGTGATATGAGCCACTGCAGGGAACATAATGAAACCAAATATTAGTGACAGCATCACACTGAGCAGGGATTTTATTTATTTTTTGGGACAGTGAGCTGGTGCAATTAAAGGAAAAGCACAAAACATTGATGGATATATTTCTAGTAACGTTAATTGTGGTTTATTGTACCACAGCTTGGTATCAAACACTTTGGCTGCTGTTCACCGCTTTCTCCAGGTGAAACTGGGCCAGCTCGCTGCTCTTTGTGTGTCGGTACTCGGTACAGAACTGAGCCCAGCTGGAGATGAGTCCGGGCCTCGACCCGAGTAGGCGACGTGAAGTGAAACTCTGCCTGCAGGCAGTGGACGCACATGCGGATCTTCGGCGGACCCGACGTGCGGAAATGTTCTGCAAGAAGACAACACAACAACAAAATGTACCAATTGAACCAACGTTCACCGAATTTGCTCCAACAATAGTTAGCCTCTCACGTTTTCTAAATCTACCTCAATCCTTTTGCAAGATATTGAGTACTAGCGGAAATTTAGAAAAAAGAATAAAAAGAAAATCCGTTTTCTTCTTCAAAATAAAACCACATGAGTAAAAGTGAGACAATAGAATAGAATAGAATAGAACAGTACTTTATTCATCCCCAAGGGGAAATTTGTCTGTGGCAGCAGCAAACAGGTTACACAATAAAATAAAAATATTAAGTGTGGAAAATGTACAATATATACAATGTAATAAAATAAAATAACCGAGCAGGACCTATTAGATTTAAGAAGATAAAGTAATAAAAATTGCACAGTATATACACTAAGTAGAATCGTATTAAGTTAAGTAAGTAGGAAAAAATAAACAAAACAGTAGTGCACAAGATCACCAGCAGCAGCAACAACAGTGTAGCATTGTTATAGTCTTGTGTTTGATTTGGCCAGAGGTGATTTATTATAGAGTCTAATAGCAGAGGGCAGGAATGTTTTCCTGTATCGGTCCTTGTGACAGCGGAGCTGAATCAGTCTGTTGGAGAAAGTGCTCCGCTGTCCCTGCAGTAGGTGGTGGAGAAAATAACTCACATATTCTCACATATTCGTCATATTCGTGTAATTCGGGTTATTGTAGTGACACAGCAGCAACAACAAAAAAAAACCTGTTACCTCTAATGGGTATTTCACGATGTGTATCCACTAGAAATAGGAGATAACAGAGTTTATCACGGGGATGTTATCAATTACTAAAATACTTCCTTTATTTTGAAGGGAAAGTCATCAAAATAGCTTCCGCTTTAAAGTACCCTTTTGTAAAATATCACGGTGCGCTTCCCTTTTCTTGATATGGAACAAACTATTTGTCTATTTGTAAATTTATTCCCGTGTCGTGAGCCGGTGATAAAATAAAAGTCATGAAATAGTTGTCTTCAGGAGAAAAGGCAGACGGTCTATTGGTGGAACTAATGTAGTGCAGTGTATGTTCCAACCGAGAATATTTATGAGTCGGACCTTTTGAGGAATTTACTATTCACTACAATTCTTGCGCACAACTCACGCCCTAACTAAGCACATCCATGCCTACATGCAGTGAACACAACGACTACGGAAAAGGCGTAAACCGACAGCGTTGATTCATGTCAGTTGGCGGTGGGAACAGTTAAGTGATTTGACTCGTGCTATTTATGACGATATTTTTATCAAGTGGGAAAAAAACACTACATTACAACAGCTTTATGTCACGGTAACTTTGTGACTTTCAACAGCCAGTCGGCAACAAGAGCAGAAACACAGCATATATTAGCTAACATTAGCTACTACTAGCTATCTTTCATCAAACTGAATAGATACAATCGGCTTTCTCATCTGTTGACGTTAAATGGCAACAATGGAAACGCGGAGGATCACACAGGAAACCTTTGACGCTGCTGTCAAGGAGAACATGGAGGAGTTTGAGATGGATCCCGATGAGGCTCTGAGGGAGGCTCTGGAGCAGTTTGAGTCTCAAGGTAACGTAGCTAGAAAGAAAAATGACTTGTAGTTGATTATTGTACAGCTGAGCGTGTATATTGCCTCTATGAGAATGAGGCAATGTTATGATCTATATAAACGTCAGTGCTAAATATCAGTATGTCTAGCTGTTTCTTGAAAATTTGGATAAATTAAAATGGTCTTAGTGGCTTTACAGACTGCCATATATAAACATCCCTGCACCTTTATGGGGAGTTTAAGACTATTAAGTATTAAAAATACTTAATTAACTGGATGTAACTGTCTTGAATAATTGTCCACCAACTCACACACAGAGTGAGGCTGCAGTGTGACTGATCTGTTTTATAAAATCCTCTTTGGACAGTTGATATTCCTACATTCTGATTTTTGTCATCACCTTCAAAGTGTGTAGTTTCAAAGTAGATAATACACTCATAAGCACCAGCCTGGCTGCCTCTGAACTTAGTTTTGCAATGCTTACCGAATTATGATTATTTAAAAAGTTTTTGTGCTTGATATTTTCTGTCTTTAACCCCAATCTTATGTGTGGCCGCAGGTGTGAACCTCCGTTGTATAGTAAAAGCTGTACCAGGTGTCTTATCTGATGGGGAGCAAACACACGAGGTCTTACAGGTGAGTTCTGTTCTTTTGTGAAAGGGGATTGCTGACTGCACAAGTGTCGTCATCTCATGTCTTTTTCTTTTTTTACTTGCAGGTGTTGGATTCCCTCCGCACTGGGAAAGATTCTGCCGGTTTGAAGGAAGTGACGGCAGACATAAAACGCTTCACTGAGCATTGCTTGCTTGGATTTGCCCAGAGGTACCAGGCTGCCCAAAAAGACGCCTACCCCATCATCCTCTCTTACTGCAAAAAGAGTGTGGAGGAGCAGGAAGCTGTGTTGACTGCACTGTCTGCTCTGGCTGCACTGACAGACGGACAGCCAGACTTGTTGGATGCAGAGGGCAAGCAGTTCCTTTTGAATGTCCTTAAGAAGTACAAGGCAGATTCCTCTGTGGTATGTGCCGCCATCTGCACCGTGCGTCACTGCTGTTTGAAACATGAACAGAACAGGCAGGATTTGGTAAAAGGGGGCGTCTTGCCTCTTCTGACCGGTGTCATTACCCAACACAGTGGATCTGCTGAGCTGGTTAAGGAAGCCTCTGCAGCTCTCAGGGTCATGTGCTTTGACGATGACATCCGCGTTCCGTTTGGGCAGGCTCATGAACACGCAAAGATTATTGTTCTTGAGCACAATGGACTCAAGGTTTTAATTGACGCTGCGAAAGGTGAGGCCAGCTGATGCCTAGTTTATGTGGGTGTTTAGCAAAATAGCTTCAACTACTTTGTCTGATTTCAATAATGTAATTTCTTTATCTCCTGTGTTCCTCCCTCACAGCTCACCTCGATAATACTTCTGTACTGAGTGAGCTGTGTGCAACTCTGTCCCGTCTGGCTGTAAGGAACGAGTTCTGTCAAGACATCTGTGATCTCGGAGGATTGAAGCTCATCATGACGCTGCTTGCGGACAGCTATGAGAAAGCGGTAGCCAACTGAAAACAAGGGATTGTGATACAAACTGATTGAAGATTCAACCTCCATGTTTGTTATGCTCACTGAACTGATGTTCTTCTTGCAGGAGTTGGTTCGGCAGGTCCTTAGTGCAATACGAGCTGTAGCGGGAAATGACGATGTGAAAGATGCAGTTGTTGATTCTGGAGGGGTCGAGCTCATCGTCATTGCCATGAACAAACACATGAGCAACTCTGCTGTGAGTTGAATGTCATACCTACACACTAAGTGACTGACTAGGCTTGGTATAGTATTTACCTTTTTATTTATTATACAAACTTTAATATTGGTTGTTTTGATTTATTTTTGTTGGATAACAATTAAGTTGAGTTATGAATAAATTCTGCAAATGTCCTACGATTATGTTCACATTCTGCTGTAGGTGTGTGAGCACGGCTGTGCATGCCTCTCTGTCCTTGCTTTGCGGAAACCCAACAACTGCAAAGTCATCATGGAAAATGGAGGCGCCTCGGCTGCTGTGCAGGCTATGAAGATGCACTCAGATTCAGTCAATGTGCAGGTAATATGAAGTCATTATTAATATTTGATATGCTTACTTAAAAAAACAGTTCCTCTGACAGTCTGACGACTCTCTATGTCCCTGTTTTATTTCTTTATAAACAGAAACAGGCATGTATGGTGATGAGAAACCTGGTTGCACGTATGGATAACTTAAGCCAACCGATCCTGGAGATGGGAGCAGAGGCCCTGATAATCCAGGCACTAAAGACCCACAAAGACTGTGATGACGTGGGTAAAGCAGCCCTCAGAGATCTGGGATGCCAGGTGGAGCTCAGAGAGCTGTGGACCGGTAAACATGGCAGCATCACCAACTGAAAGTAGAGGAGAGCAATCACTCCTTACCGTCAAATGCAATTTTAGGCAAGATACAAATGCTATGTTGGTGTACCTAGCCAAGAGTTTAAGCGGATGCATCTACCCAGATAGACATATTTGTTAAAAATAAAGTCGATGTGGAAAAGGCTCGTCCCACACAGCGCCCTTTAGAGGTTGAATATGTGTTCCACTCCTGTTTTTGTTTTTGACAAGTACAAAAAGCTAATTGTAGTCCTGTTGAACATGTTTTGTTTGCTATTCATATTTTGTCCACATATGTTCTGTATTACAATTATATTATTAGGATGTTAGGAGCTGAATTTGTATGTTTTCTGCTATGGGTAAATATAAATAAGTGTATTTGCTTCTATGTAAATAGTTTAACTGCACCATTCTGTCCAGATTCCTTTCGTAGCCACATTTTAACATGTATTTAATGCCTTAAACTTTGACTAGATCAACACTTTGGCCTTTTTATGTTTGTTAATTTGTATGTGCATTATTTACAGTAAACAACTGCAATATCTGATACTTACACCAACCACTGACAGCATTACAGTGTATATTTTGCATGATTAGGATAAAAGTCACCTTTGGTGCATCACCTCTATGTTGTGTATCATCACACACGGTAAGATTGAGTACTTCACGGACAAGAAAAAACCCAGGAGGAACCATACTGAGCCAGTTTGTTGTCAAGTGTGCCTCCTGTTCACGCCCCTCTAACCGACCTATCCTAACGTGCCCCTTCTCGCGCAGACTTCAATTCCCAGAATGCATCTGGGCTCGTCCTTGTCAGAATCCAATATCTCAACGCTGTCACGGGTAGTAACGGCAGAAATACAACAGCATGGACGATGCTAGTCAGTTAAAGTCACGTCAGAACCAATGAATACGAGAAATGTGTGAAAGGCAGTGCCTTCAACACTAGGAGACGTTTTTCGAAAGACAGGCGTACTGTGAATACTCTCACAACACTGTCCGACGAGCGTTACATTTACGGTAATGTAGCAGTAAGCTAACGGCTATCCAACGTTACTCAACCTGCTATTTGGCTAACTTTGAAACCGCTTCCGAAGAACCTGCTAGCAACAACGCACTAAGTGAGGGATACCAAAGCATCAGACATCTCCGAGCTGATGTCAACTTGGTAAGGTAAGAATGTGACGTTAGTGTTTGAGTACTGACAGCTTGCTGGTTGGTATGTCGGTAAGTGGACAAGTTTCGACAAGAGTGGCGTGTGCACCGGCCAGTGAGACCGAATGAGAAGCAAGGTGATTTTGTTATAGATGCATATCTGATTCTGGACAAATATGTATGTGTTGTAACCTTTTCATTGTAGTTATGCCGGCATAGTACTTGCACAACTAATTTGAAAACAATCTTTTTACATAACAAGGAAAATGGTGGCATATGGTATACAATGCTGTTACAAGACTATTACACAACAAGACAGACAAAACACCAGGAGGTAGACGAATACAAACGCCTCATAATACAATGCAGTCCCCTAGAGCTACACTAGAAGTAATCGTGTATTTGTTTAAATTAACACTGTGTATTTGTTTAAATTAACACTATGTATGTTCAAGGGCAGCTCTGCCTTTCCACTGCTGTGTATAGCATGTTAGTGGTATGTTGGATCATAGATGATTAGTGAGGAAAAAGTCCTGCAGCTCAGCCTGAGGCCCACCAAACAGGTTTAACTAGAGGGTAAACAACGAACAATAACATGATATGCACGAGGAAGGAGGCTGCTGGGACAACCCCTGGTTAAGGACAGTGGTTGAGGTGAAAGGGGACACACAATGTGTGTCTATGGATATATATATATATATATATATATATACACACACACACACACACAGTTGCCCTTGTCCTTTACTCACTTGTTTCATGCTTTCTCTCTACATCTTGTTTGGCTTGATTCTCCTGACTGTTGCTTAAACACATTCTGCCGCATTTTAGGTTTACATACAGTATTTGATTCAGCTTTTGAGTTGTGACTTATTTAAAGTGGTTTGAGCAATGCTTGCCTGTTTAACCGGTGCAGTGTGTAATAGGAGCCTGTGGAAGTGGAAGGTCGCATGAATAGGTGTTGTGCCCAGTGAAATGATTAACTCATTGTAGAACATGCAGACGTCTTTGTTTGAAGAGGTGAGACTGCTACAGATAATGTTTCCTTCTCTAAAGTTCATCTCATCCAAGTCTTCATTGCCTACAATCAAGGGTGTCAAAGATGTGGTCAGACTTTACGAAAGGAGCTTCAATTGTATTGTTGTTTTTGCTTGTATTGTTCAGACACTTTTCATCCACAAGTCCTCCACTTTGACCTTCAGGAGATATCTTTGTGTGTAACTTACTGCAGCTCTACTTCGCTCAGTGTCTCTATTCAGCCTTTAAAGGTGTGCCAGTTGGTTAAATGTAACTAGATTATTCTCAAGGTAACTATTTTCTCTAGTTGGGTGTTTCCTTTACAGTTTAGTGACGTGACGCTTCTTTACTCTGCAGGGGGAGTGCAAAGAAAGATCTAAACTATAATAGATTTCTATACCTTCAGGTTTACACAGAGCTAGACTCGAATTCTTTGGTACATATTGCAAGTGCAGCATGACGAAGCTAGCTATACTCCTGAATGCAAGATCTCAATCTGTACACAGTGTTGGCATCTTGGCAATGACATGCTTGTCACTGGATCCTGACACAGAAGCGTAACCACCGAAATATGTTGTTGATTGTTTTATATTTAGACTTACCTAAAACTGACCTTTTTTCTCTCTCTTCCTCTCCTCTGTAGCTCTCAGCACCGGGTGTTGGTGGGGGCACCACTCGCAGTGGTTGAATTCATGAGCCCGCTCAGTGACCGCTAGTCCTCGGGGATGGGCACCGGAGTACAGGAACAACGGGCGACACTTGGGCAGGGAGAAGTGCTGCCGCTGGACTCCTCTAGTCAGGCAGAAGTGAGCTATGAGGTGACATTTTATAGACATGATCCTTCACTGCTTTAAGGAAAGCATCCATCAGGTTTCATCTTTTTATCTGTAAATTTGAATCAGCTGTCTCATTTAGAGACCTGACACATTGATGAAAGTGAGCAATGACTATATTATTGTGTAGGAAAAATAAAACGTGTCATTTATCTGATTATCGTCAATGGTAGAATTGTCGTGGCGTCCTGTGTTTTATCTGTGTACTGTCTTTATTTAAAGGAAATTCTCTCTGCTTGTTGTTCTGCTGTATTGCATGCGGAAGAGCTGAGAATTGTGCAGAGCTTAAAGGCTTCATCGCCTCGTCTCTGTCTTTGGGTTCATTTAAGGACATCTGCTCCTACGTGTTATGTTTTGTGAGCTGGTTAGCCAGATGTGATATATTCTCCTTACATAACTCCAAGTTAATGATCAACAGCATCTCAAACACTACTTTGTTCACATAAGCAGGCAGTCTTTACAGGATTCACTGTGTTGGTGTTGATGACCCTGAATGTGATTCCTCCGTCACTGTGCAGGGCCTGAGGCACACTCGGTCTGTCGTCAACTCGCTCTTCTCTGGGGCTTTAGCGGGAGCCCTGGCCAAGACAGCTGTCGCTCCATTGGACAGGACTAAAATCATCTTCCAAGGCAAGTTGAATTCTCAGCTGACCTTAAAGTGGAAAGTGTTTTTAAATTAGAAATGACCCACATGGATGCCATGGAATTATATCTGGAACTAATGTTATGTTTGTGATGTATTTATATCAATGAGAATATTAGAAAATGAGTGACTTACAGAAACACTGGACATTTATAGTCTGTTTTGTTTTATAGTGTCTTCAGCAAGATTCTCTGCCAAGGTAAGTTTGATCACTTATTTATTGTCAAGAGATTAATTCACACATGTTCATTTTGTAACATATTAGTTGTCAGTCTGACCTTTTTGAAGCGTCATTTCAAAGTTTCAAGACAAAAATCGATCGTCATCAATCAATCATGAGTTCATGTGTGCACGCTACATTACAGGAGGCCTACAGGTTGATCTACCGCACCTACCTGAAGAATGGCTTCCTCAGTCTGTGGAGGGGCAACTCTGCCACCATGGTGCGAGTCATCCCGTACGCTGCTATCCAGTTTTGTTCACACGAGCAGTACAAGGGACTGTTAGGAGGCTACTATGGCTTTCAGGGGAAGTAAGTGTCGCTTTATGCTGGTAGACCTACGACTCGGGTCTGTTGGCTCATCTAATGACTTTTACCGCGACAGATTTTCTTTGTCTTGTGGAGTAATAAACAATCTGGAAGGTTGATGCACATACGATTGTTGTTCTGTGTGTTCCAGAGTCCTTCCTCCAGTTCCGAGGTTATTGGCTGGGTCTATGGCGGGTACCACGGCAGCCATGGTGACCTATCCTCTGGACATGGTGCGAGCTAGGATGGCTGTAACGCCAAAGGAAATGTAAGGTCACCTTTAACTACCAGTGCACAGTCATCAGTGGGTATTTAACACATATAGCACTACAGCTAAATAACACAAGGGGCTGCGTTGGGGTGTGCGCCTTCAAGGTTCAGGTTTAGAACTTGATCGGTGTACTTCAAATTTGCCAGTCAGGTAAAAAACAACAATTACATGTCATATGGATACTTGCACAGGCGTCTGAGGTAGTTTGTGCTCCTGTTTAACCTTGAATAGACGTTACACAGCACTTCTCATCCAGTTTCATGCTAATATGTTGTGTTTTTGGGGCCTCCACTGTTTAGGTACAGTAACATCCTGCACGTGTTTGTGCGGATATCCCGAGAAGAGGGCCTGAAGACATTGTATCGAGGCTTCACTCCCACCATGCTGGGTGTTATTCCCTACGCTGGTCTGAGCTTCTTTACCTATGAGACACTGAAGAAAGTACATGCAGGTAATGGTCAATAATCATTTAATCTAGCGATTATTTTTTCATTTAGTCCATTACTCTAACGAGTTATTTATCGATTTATATTCAAGATTTTTTTTACAATTTTCCAGATGGATGTTAATTTACCCAACACAACTTGTCGGATTAATGTTTCATTATTTCAATTGTTTTCTCTTAAAAACTAACAAATGTAAAAGTAGATAACATTAGTCTGATACCTGATCAGAAAAGTACTGGACCTCGTATTCAAAAGGTTTCTGTGACACATTAAGACCTGAACGAGGGAATGCCTCCTTTGACCAGACGCAGCCATTCGTGTGACGCTCCAACGGACTTCATGCAAATTGATGTATTTCTGTAATCGATGACGTTGATTATGTCGCAAGTCGCCCCAGCCCTAGCATATTTAATGTGTCCCTTCTTAACATCCTCCTCTCCCATGCAGAGCGCAGTGGGCGCCCACACCCCTACTCATATGAACGTCTGGCGTTCGGAGCCTGTGCAGGACTTCTTGGCCAGTCGGCATCTTATCCTCTGGATGTGGTACGACGTCGTATGCAGACCGCAGGAGTCACAGGTCACACGTACGGCACCATCCTGGGCACCATGAAGGACATTGTGTCTGAGGAAGGGGTCGTCCGTGGACTCTACAAAGGTCTCAGTATGAACTGGGTCAAAGGGCCCATCGCAGTGGGGATCAGCTTCACCACCTTTGACCTCACTCAGATTCTCTTGAGGAAGCTGCATCAGATGGGCTATACGGCTCGGTAATAATAACGCTGCAGAGAGAGGGAAACGGGGATAGTGGGATGACGAGCTCCCCTTACACCCTCCGAAAGAGAAAGGAAGTGAGAGAGTAACGATTGTGTGCTGCTGGATAGAAGCAAACACACACTGGCTCAGGATGCGGGATATTAATGTGTTCTCTCGCTTTATCTGTGTGCAGCGCGGGATGTACAGTCCCTGTAGGCGTGAGCTATGTTGGATGGTACAGAGTACCTGTACACACTGTTGTCATGTACAGCGAAGTGCAATATGCTCAGTGAGTTTTCCCTGTGTTTGTGTGTGCACGTAATTTATAACGCGTTTGCCCTCGTGGACCAGGCCCGTGAGTTTCAGTCTGAGAGTTTAGAGGTTCACACACACACTGAGGTCTCCATACTGCCTTGTGTGTCTGCTTACAACTGACACCTTCCAGCGTAATGCAGGTCATTTATATGTAACGTACTAAGATGCATTTGATTCAACAACAGTAAAATATTCCCCCTTGAGATTAGTTTTTTAATGAGTGTGTTGTTCTTATATGAGCTTGTTGCAGATTCTATGATATTCGTGGTGTTTGTATATCGAAGCACAAACGTTCTCAGACTACGACTTTTGAGCCAAAATCTTGCCTCGAAATCTAGCACAGAGGTAACAGCATTGTTACTGTCCTCACATGGTCAGTTTTATTTAGAGTTCAATGTATTGAATGTGTCCAGTATCTTTAAGCGGAGCTCCTTGAGAGTGAATTCACAGACTTTTATTTGTAGTTCAGCTGTAGTGATGACTGCAGACTAATGAGCTCGATAGTATGCCAGTGCCAACATATATGAAGTATAAAGAGTGCCCAAATGATTGAGTTTGTTTTCACTGTGATCATATATAGTGGACCTTTCGAAAAATATTGTCAATTGCGATGGAAAGTTTAGTTGTTGGTATGTGTTGGTACAAATGATCCGACAGATATCCGTACGAGACGGGCATACTCTTTGGACATAGAGTCCCATGTTATGCACATGATGCAAGTTAATGGGTAATTTTCCAAATTGAAGATCATATACTGATTCAACAGTTTAGTAGGAACACATGACCAGTCTAATGTAAGCCACTACAACAGCTCTGCAATGAGCGCTACCTTTATCAAGTGTACAATGTTCTGTCGTTGAGGTGTCGCTTTATCTCCGGTAATCTTTTAGCTGTATTGTTTTGGATTTCGATATCGAAAGGTGTTTTGTTATTTTCTGTCACCGGTAAAGGAGGAAGACGGACACATACAAGTATTTAAATGTTGTCTTCCATTTGCTGTTGGTTTGGCAGCTGCAGGGGGCATTGTTTAAAACTGTGAAGAGATGATTTGAGTTCTCTGTTACAGGCGTGATTTAGTATATTTTAGTGTTCTTAGTATTGTACTTTACCTCAGTACGTAGTCAAACGAACATGACATTCTTGCATAGCAATGTTTTATGTGGAGTAGTTGTCATTTGACTGTATCTGATACAGTTTGAACAGTATTGATGCAGGGGGCTCACAGTCGTTGAAGAGTGTCAATAGTTTCTATACTTAGACCAAACATGCCAAGGGAGGATGGTTGAGCCGAGGGAGCAGCTGGGTGCAGAGCCGGGTGGAGCTTCATCTTTATGGAGCTTTGCTCTGTGAGACGAGTGTGAGGATCTCCACTGAAACTCAAGTTGCTTTGTTAGTTAAGATACTCAAAAAACACAATATTGTAATACTGAAGTAATGGTATTGTAATTAGTGTTTTTCACTAATATTTTTTCTTTATTGGTTAATCTATACATTATCAGACTGTCATAGTTTGAGTAATGTCTTAACTTTGCTTACTGAACGTTTACTGACCAGCAGACGAACAACCCAAAAATGTGTTGAGTGTTTAATAATCTCTAATCAGCCAATGTTTTGTGATTTCACTATTAACCAAAAGAAGATTAACCGATTATCAAATGAGTTACTTTAAAGTGGCCATAGAAAAATTAAGGCTTGATTTATGGTACAAAGGAAGACCGTTAACTATTGCTCAACCTAAACAGGAACATGATGGCGTGTGGCTGCGGTAGAAAAGTCCTTAACTGAGTGAAATGACCCGGACGTATCTAAGTGGCCGCCATGATGAGAGCTGTTTGAATTCTCTAGATGCTAAGGAAAGGTGCTTCAATGCTTCCTTTCTTAGCTCCTTCAGCATAGGAAACACTGGACCTTCCTTTACCAAAGGAAAAAAGATAATGCTGCCCCACAACATTTATATAGCCGGCATAATAACTTTAAGTATGATACACGGGGCGAAGTATTGGATGCACAAAGGTTATCTGTTGCCACTTTAAGAATATAAACTTTTTCTCCATTTAACAAGAGGCCAAACAAGCACTAGCTCCAAAAGTCGCTAAAGGTCGCCAGATGCGGTCACATGCTCATTTACATATTGGTGACGACATTGCCCATTCATCGCAAAGCTTTGGGTTAGTCCCCAAAAAGTATTGAGATTCGATGCCCAGCCCTGTACTGGAAAGATTACTACACTTTGCCCCCATTCCCCAAAGCCGACTCTCCCCTCACCTGCCTGTCTGACCATCTCTTTATCTGTCTGGTCATTGATGTTGTGATTGTTTTCCTGATTGTTCAGTAAATCAGAGCGCTGTTCAAGAAAGCAGGTTTGTTGAAAGCTCTGAGTAAGTAACCCTGAGATGAGGGAAACTAGGTTTTCATTCTCTGAGGAGAGGCAACTTAAACTCTGGGTCTGTAACCCAGTTGTTGAACGAACTGTGATCAGCTGTTCTGGAACCAAAAACTCAGTTTCCCATCTCAGGGTTAATTTCAGCTGAGGTTTGATCACTGACAGCTTGAAACCCGCACATGTTCTGAGCTGAAGCGTCCAGGAGTGCTGTAATGTAGAAAGTATACAGTAACTGAAAGCTGAGTGACGGGTAGTTACTGAATCTCAAGTGCCTGGCAAAGAATAGTAACGTCTGTACTATGACTGAGCTACTTCTACTCACCTTTTTGAAGGTTGCTTTGATTTTCTAGCCTTTACAAATATTTAAGGGGCAGAAGATGGTTTGAAGTTTGGAGATTGTTCGACCTCTGTGTCTGAATGTATTACTTAAGGTCCAACTTTTGTATGTGAATTTTGTAAAACGTATGAACTGCCTTGCAGTGTTCTGCTGTCTAGGGTGAGATGCGTGAACCGTGGCTCCCTGGCAGACTTGAACAATCCATTCCAACCAGTCCAGGACTCATTTCAAAGTACATCTGATGGTCATTTGTGTCCTGATTTCAATTGGAAGAGCATTGTAATGTTATCTCCCTATAGATCAAGGGAACTAATACACAATGAAATACACAGAGTAACAACAAGCCTGGGAAAACACCAGACAATCATGAAATGCCAAAAAAAGTTTTGAAAGAAAAGTAGATTTTTTGTTGAGTACCTGACAGTGGCCTAATGATGAAGAATACTAAATCACTACAACAACTAAAAAACTGGAAGATGTGATTTTTTTTTTTTTTTTTTTTTTTTAAATTTGCTCTTGTAAAAGCAGATTTGATTGTTTTAACCCTATTTGTGGGTAACATCTTGTATCGTGTTTGCTTCAGTGCAGCAGCGATAGGACCGCTGTGTAAATCCTCGTGATTTGTGCCAACTGAATGTAAACGTAGCTACTAATACCACACCCTGTGTTTGATCTCTATTGGTGATGATGTGTCTGTTGGACAGTTTGAAATATCAAATCCTAAAATAAAAGTGGATGTTAACACCAGATTGATGTTGTTATTTCACTGTTTCTTCTGTGCCTGAATGATGTCTTTTAGTTCTTGTGGATTAAAACTAGAATTTAAACAATAGTTTCAGTGTGGTACTTGACGTTAACACTCGGACTAGTCCATTGTGTCATTATTTTAATTTAAAATAAACATATAGTTTATTGTATTTTAGATTAAATATCAATTAAGAAAAAATATGATGAAATACAAAAAAATTAAAATATTATGTAAACAAAGTGACTCACTTGGTTTGTTCAAATGTCTGAAGCATATTAATCACACGTACACATTTACTATTAATTATAAGCTCATTAAGTGACCCGTTAACAGTGGTGGCCCAAAGTGACACAGAATATGAATAAATAAATTGGACATTAATATATGAATATATATATGAAAAGTAATACATTTAGAATATAGTTTAAAAAGTATAAATAATAAATGTGGAAATAAAGAAATAAATGCATGCATATGGATGTATAAATAAATAAGTAAATCAATGTGAAAATTAATGAGAATATACTGGTAAATAAATAATGTTATAACAAATTAATACAAAAATATATATAATCTAATTGTATATAAATAAATAAATGCATACAGTAAAAATGGAACATTCGTTAATATTTAATTGATTTATGGCAAAACATTGTATTTATTTTCAATTTCTCATGCTGATTCTTTTATTTCTCTAATCTATTTCTCGGGTCACTTTAGAAAAAAGTGTCTTTGTTTAGGCCGAATACACGTGGTATGTAATGATACATAGTGACCACTAGAGGACGCGGTCCCCCCATTAATGAGTGAACTCCTCCGGATGTAGTTCCACATATGGCCGGTATGTGGCGGTGCAGCACCGCGCTGGGAGCCAAAGGAAGGTGAGCTGGGTCAAGCGGTGCTTCTCCTCCGCCCGAGGCCCTGATGAAGCTTTGAACTTGACCGTGAACGCAACACGGCAACATAGGAACCTGAGGAATAAACTGAGCATACTGAAAACAATAATAATTAATTAAAATGCCTGATATTATTAAATACAAACGTTGTTTGACATCAGATTTAGACTTTTCATATAATGTAGAAAGAAAGGAATCCATATGTTATTCATTAAAGGGTATTGTACTGTACTTTGTGTTAATTGAGCGGTTGTTTATATGAGGTGAAGTATTTCGTTTGGTCCTTCTTGAACTGGACAGACCAGACTATTTGTGTGCAGATCTCTGGGAACGTGGGGGAAAAAGCACCAAAAGAAAAGAGCTTTAGGGGAGATAGAGGACTAATTAGAGAGTGAAGGAAGGAGGGATGGACAGAGGCTGTCGGAGGACATGGTTGCTATAGATACTTGGCATGATGCTAGGTGGAGGCAGCGCCAATTTGCATTTATTCAGATGATGGCTGCTCTCTTTCTCTCTCTCTCTTTCTCTTTCTCTTTTTCTCTCTCTCTCTCTTTCTATCTCTCTCTTTCTTTCTCTATAAAAGCAGCAAAACACACTATTTTTTAATGTAAAACCCAGTGAAAACTGATTCAAAAATATATTAGCCTATGATGAAATATATTTGTGTTATTTTTGATTGTGCCACAAAACAAAATGTTCTGTCGGAAAACCAAGATGCTTTTTGGCTATGTTAGGTTATATTCGATTTTGAAGTTGAAAGATGTAATACCAGATTATTGCTTCTTTTTTTAAACACTATATATCCATTCCTCTCTTTCATTAATTGAAAATACAAAGAATACAATTCTGCACTGTACTTTAGGCCTGTGGATAGTTTCATGTAGCGCATCATTTTTTTCTCAAGATTAGCTCCAAAAAGAAAATGATGCATAACTTTTAGATAAAAAGCTTCTGTAACAAAAAACTAACTAAAAGAAAAATAGAGTTTTTATTGTAATTTTGCCCATTATATAATAGTCTATTTAATATTAAAACTGTACTGTTAGCAGACATTTCATATTCTTCGAGGAGTGTGGCCTGTACAGCGTAGCTCGTTAGCTTCTGTTGGGCCTGTGGACTAATAGATAATTATTTCTTTATTTTTACAAATAAAAGTAAAATGGCATGAAAACCCTTAATCACTAAAAGTGCTGTAACAGCATCAAAATCTGAAGAAAATAACAGATTGAATGAAGTCTAATACACAGGTTAAATTAAAAACAATAGACAAAGAATAAATAATAATATTTTTGGGGTAGTGAAATAGTTAAAAATGCAGCCGTTTAATTTCAATTAACTTTCATATCTCTTGTGGTCTTAGTTGTGTTTATTTGTTACGTGAATAAAAATCTCCCTGTTTTACAATTTCCACTAAATGACAATGTCAGACCTTAATTAATTCATGAAAATTCTAAAAACAGGATACAGATTTAGCTCTATAGATACAGGGATAAACATTTTTCATTCTTTAATTATATAAATGTGAGAGCATTGTGTCAAAGTCAAGACTTTATACTGAAAATATAATTTGAAAACTGAAAAAAATTCACAGGAGAGAAATGTCAAAGTCAATGTTCTCTTTATTGACCAAATATTCACACAGTACAGTTTCAACCTATGACACCTCAGAGTATTTATCAATGGATTCAACCTCGACATCGAAACATCGTGGAGTGATCGCCGACTAAAAAATACACTTTAAAAACCACACCTCCAATGACTTTTCCACAACGTACAACAGGATCAATTAACGTAGTTAAGCCCACAATCAGATATCAGTTTACATCAATTAGCATGATCCTTAATATATTTAGAAAAATAAAATCACTTTAATTATAATACCTTTTCATATCTAATGTATTAACCCACTAAATATACATGCTGTTTAACTTTAAAAACACATCTTGAAGAACAAAAATCTGTTTCAAAGTCTCTCTTTGTCAGTGACTGTTCCTTGGATTTGAAGATTTAGCGGCTCACCTTAACATGTGTTTGTGTGTAAGTTCAGAGGCAAAGTAGTGACTGTCCACACAACATATTTTGTGTCAGAAGCTTTAATCATTTAGCAGGAAATCAACAAAAAGTGGTTGAATTGGTCCAGTCCAATCTGGGTCAGTTGAGTCAAGTTGTTCAGCCAAACAGTGATTTTCTACCATCACCAATCTGCAGAGAAACAAAGAAAGGAAATTAGTGACAGAATAATACTAAAATAGAAAATATAGCAAAATTGTCCTGTTTTTTTTACAGCCAGGATCATAAAGGCCAGAGAGATTGTCTGAGATACACCTATACTACGCTTGAGCTTTCACCGTGAATACTCATGAATATGAGTCACGTCACAGGACTGACGCAGCAATTTTGGACTAAGATAGAAAAAAAGTGGTTTGAGGAGGGAGGAGAGATACAGAAGGGACCCCCTCCTCATGACTACTAATATCGGTCTGTGTTGGAGTCTACACTCATCCACCTCTGACCTCTAAAGCCTGGAGCGTCGAGAGGACACATAGTCAGCAGAGAACCCCACAACTATGCCCGAGGGAAAAGGCACACACACACACACACACACACATACCAGACACACTTCTACTGTCTGGTTTTGCAACGTCATGACTGAACAAGATAAGGATCCCAGCAGCAGAGATAAGGGATTTAATCCTAATTTGTCCAGACTTTAATCAGGATTATAATGAAACAGGACCAAACCAACTGCCTTTGAATTTGGACTTCTAGAAAAAACTTAAATAGTTTAAAGTTCATAGGTTTTATATGATAGCTTCTTATTTCTGTTAATGCTCCAAGAGCAAGGTGTGTGTGTGGGATGTGAGGAGGCAGAAGAGGGTTAGTCATGATAGAGGAGATCAGAGCTGGACCACAGTCCCCGGATAGAAAGCAGGGTTTCAGACATTGGGCAATTATGAGGGGCCTTCCCGAGCCTGTAGGGCTCTCCAGGGCTCCTCTTCTGCCCACGCACGAGTCCCAACAACCCGCTAATGTATGCAGAGGGGAGACTGCAGTCCTGTCTCCACACCACACACAGAGAGTAACTTGCAAAGAGTGTGACATTATTATGTGTAATGCTATTCCTTCTCTGACTCCTCTGTGTCATATAATCTTAAAATAGCTACAGAACTTTTCTTATCTTTGGGAGAAAAAGAGACTAGATCGTAATCTCCTCCACTCAAAACGTATTTGTTGTCCCTAATTTAACGCTTTGTAAGATGGAGAACATGCACAGTGAGATATTCATCAAAAATGTTCAGGTGTCTTGCCTTCATTAAAAAGCATTAAAAAGGGGCGGTAATGATCTTTTGTATACTTGTATATTTTGTATAGTATCGGTGGTGTTTTACAAGTCATCCCTGTATATATAAGGACAGACGTCACCCTGATGAAGGCGAGACAGCCGAAACCATTTGGTGAATGAAACATGATGGCGTTGTGTTGAGTGACATGTTCTTATTTTGATGTCCTGGATTTATCGCTTGACTTGATACTTCATAATAAAAGAATCCAAGTCTCGAGTTTTGACAGGAGAATGTTGACACAGCTGTGTCATTGTAATAATCAGCAATAAGAGACCCGAGAGGCACCTTGACCTATCATCTTTTAAAGCAAGAACTTGAAACTTGGCTTTGACGGGACAACAGCTCTGATTTGAACTGTTTTCAGAGACAGAAGAACAGACTGTCCACCAAATTCTTCCTCTCTTCCACTCGACAAGGTCGGCCCGACCATACTTTAGTAACGAGGTAAATCTTTAGGCTGTGAAGTATTGGAGAGGCGTAAATAGATGCAAAAAAAGGCTTGAATTTGTATCAACGAGGAGGTTTTGTGTGTGTGTGTTAGGGGGGGTCTACGAGACTTTAACCCCCCCAACAAACACACTCTTATGCTGAGTCTGTGTGTCTGTCCAACAAAGACGTCCCCACAGCCACCTCATTATAAATACATGTCATTGGATCACAGCTCGTCTGAATCCCTGAGTCTGCTGCGCTCTAAGTGGCCGTGACTGAGCCCTGAATGGGTGGCCGAGCGACAGCTATACCAATAGAGCCAACAGCGTGTGTGTGTCTGTGTGCGCGTGTGTGTGTGTGCAGAGACGACCACAGCAACCAGCCTATGGGAATGAAAGCCTCACAGCAGGACAAGGTCAGAGGTCAGGCTGTCTGTTACATACACATGTATACACACACACATACACGCACACACACACACACACACACACACACACACACAGCTTATGGGATATTTGTGATAAGAAGTGATACAGAGAAGAGAAAGGATGAAATTGTGATGAAAATAGTTGGATTCAGTTGGAGTGTGGGAAGAGTTTACTGCTGCATGTGTGAAGCAGGTTCGCTTAAATCTGGGGCAATAAGTTTTCTGCTGCCTCAACAACAAAGCCACAGGAATCTAGTCCTGGCTCACTTAGAAGGAGGGAACAAGGTGTGCATGTGTATATTTGTGTAAATTGTGTGAGTGTGTGTATGTGTGTTAAAAGAGCTCATCCTATCTCATTTTGCAGGGGAAAGTGTCTCTATCCCTCTGGAACCACAAACCAGGCCACAGTGTTGTACTCTCATTCCTCCTCCTCGTCTGTCTCTCTCTCTCTCTCTCTCTCTCTCTCTCTCTCTCTCTCTCTCTCTC